TCACCCCTTTTCATTGTTGTTATTGTTCACAACAGCCCTCGAAAATGCCTCTCCATACACCATATTGCAGCAGATGCGGCTATGAAGGCCATTGGCGCCATGAATGCCATCGGTTCTGTCAGTATTGCCACCATCCCCTGACTCCTAAGCATAGCTGCCCCCAAGCCCCCAATGCTGCACCGATCTGCAAAGGCTGCGGGCGAGTAGGCCACCGGAAAAACACTTGCACGGAGTTCGGACCCGAGTGCTACCGGTGCCACAAGAAGGGCCACAAGATGAGTAACTGCCCTTCGAGATCGAACAAGGACTCTACTGCTATTGCACCCGTTGCTGCAGTTGGGAACGATGTTGGCCTTGGCCTTGAACTTTCCCCACCTATCGTCGAGGTAACGACTGCACCACGATTACCACTAAAACAAAGATTGGATGCACCGGGCTGACAGCGTGTTGAAGATAGCGTTCCCAGACCTGAGATATACTATCACTGCGCTGGTCAAATTCTTGCTATCGGGAAACTCTACGGATATCAAGGTTGACTGCTTACCATATAAAACAGTGGTCAAGCATGTAGGAGGCCCCGAGATATTCGTTGGGATGGTATACGACACTATCGACCCACTAGCCAAGTCTCTCCAGGGCAAGATCATCGATAATGAGAAGTAAGCGCCGTGTCTCCCTCGACTTAGAGATCCCGTCTCACTGAAAACATTCAGACTTGACGATATCCGCCAAAAGCAAGCCACAGGCCTAGATATTTGGCATTGCTCCAATGGGGGTTACCTGGACTATATAAGAGACACCCGCAGCCCTTTGTACTGGCGTGCATATGTTGGCCAATCAGAAAACCTCCATCGGCGGATTTCCCAGCATACGAATGCTATTCGCAAGGGTTCTGCAAACAACCTACATTATTATATCATAAAAGAAGGGGCAGGTTATCGTTACGCCAACTTCATTCGACTGTGGACAATTCCGTTCCCTGGAAGCACCGATCGCGTAACTAGAAGTGTTTTTAATAATGTTCTTGAGAAGGTCATGTGTCTCGCTTTTCAGTCTCTGCCTGCTCGGACGCTGGAGCAGGTTTTTGGCCCGCCTGAGAATGGAAAGTACTCCGGCATTGGATTAAATGTTGTTTCGCCTCTTTTTCAAGGCAGGGAGCTGGGATATACTGTTCGTGATCAGGCCGTGTGCTTACTGGAAGAGTCTCCCGATCCGGAAATCAAGAAATGGCCAAGCTTCCGAAGGAGTTTAAAGGCTCAGCGGGACCAAGATAGCCAGCAGTCCCATAAGAGCGTTAAATCGTCGTTCTGGAACAGCATGACCCCATTCGATCATCTTGCAGCATTATGGAACGCCATAGAAACAAATACTGAGCTGGAAAACCCCCACTTGCCGCAACCTGAGGATAGTATATGGAGAATACAGGAAGAGGAGCCCATAGATCTCAGCTCTTGGTTTGAATCGGTATCGGCTAGCATATTGCAGCAGGGCAATTTGACACAGGCTGACCTTGAAAGTCCTTTTGGCAGCACTCGAGCCCCGATCGGTATCATCCTAGATCATGCACCGTCGTGTGCATATGGGGATGGCCGGCCTAATATTCCATGGGGGTTGCATGAGAGCGGCTTCACCGAAACAAACTCGTTGATCTGGTCCTTCAATCTCCAGAAATTTACATACATCTCCGGTACATTTCAGGCAGCTCCACTTCATATTGCTGATGAACATATGCTTTCTGCACACACCTGGCGGCTCATCTGTGGAAGCCAGATGCGGGTGATCTTGCTATGTGGCCATAATTCGGAGAAAATAGCAATGCCGGCCAACATACGCCTCAGGAGTTCTATTCTGAAACTACATGATTTTGAGTATCAAGTATGGCTTGATATCGAAGAGTCTAGGATTAACCGAACTTTTATTCGCTCGCCTGCTCCTCTCGGCGGCCTTTGGGCTACCAAGGCCAGAGAGGCATGTCAGTTAGGGACATTATTTCGATTTGTTTCCGATATAACCGGCACGAAGCTTAGACAGGGCTTTTATGAGTCAGCTGTTTCGCTTGCTCTGATAATTCGGAACTGGGACGATGAAAACAATAAAAAAATTGAGAAAATAGCCCCGGCAAATCTCGAGCCCCTCCTGCAAGCTTGGTTGGCAAAGAATGGTTTCGAGACTGAGGAGCAGATTCGTCGACTTGAACAGTCTGCTGGGGGCTCTTTGCGCTACGGTCTTCTCGTCCTTAGCCTTGTTGTTCCCAGACAAGTAAGGTCAACTGGTGTACGCCGAATCCCTGATTCAAAAGCCAAGCGACGTGGCACTATAGACAGAAACATCCTAAGCGCAGTCAAATCACTTTATCTAGAACTTCATCCCGGGAGCTCAACACCTGAAGAGTACAAAGTGACTGGTGAGTACAATGCGGCTGATGAGCATGCCATCCATGAAGCAGCTATGTGTGGAGTTATGCTGGATGATGAAGATTCAGACCGAGAATATACTGAAATTCCGGAACCAAAGCTAGCTGCAAACACGCGAATTGGCAATTTCAAGAACCGGTTGTGTCTGGCCTTGGGCTGCTGGTATCAAGGTCGTGAGCGAGCTCCAGGCCATTATAGTGTGGACATCCAGCATACCAAGATCTACATAAACGCGATCAGGGAGAACCACAAGGGAGGATTCTGGGTCAAGGCTGAACTTTCCCCACCTGGTGTTAGAAACCCCAATGTCTGGGCGCAAGATATCAGGGATGGGGACCCCGGAGCTCGACTGGCATTCCGCATTTCAATAAATGAATCTGATGGTCAAGAGACCTTTGTCCGATATGCAAGCCATAAAAGCTGGCAGTCGTGCTGCAAAGCAAATACACTTGTGGATGAGCTTAATGGTGACCAGCTTCTTGAGATATATACTCGTCCTCGGCGCTTCATCGACATTGATCACCGAAATACCAGGATACTTGCAGCTTATCCGGCACTGAAGAGTTTTATTGGGGGTGCATTTACAGATGACAATGGAGTGGTAATGTCCCGTAAGCGAAAGGATATCTAAGGATTCTGGTATCTGTTTGAGCTATACAGAAACCAGAATCGGATAAAGGTATAGAAGTACAGGGCCAATAAAATTTTCAATGTACTATCCAACTGTGAGATCCTGATTAGACGACTCTGCTCCTTCAATGGCTAGTACTGCCATTACTAATGCCTGATATATTTCAGTCAAAGACCTGGAGGACTTTTACTGGTATTGAGGCAGGTAGTAATGAGTAGTATTGTAGGTGTTGCTAGACCTAGACGTACTACCAGTAGGACCATCAGAGGGATTATATATACAATTAGTACTTACAATATTTAGTATATCTCTCAGCTATTGGCCTACCGACAGCAGGTGGGCCGCCCAAAGAGGAGAAAGATATTCTTATGACGATAGTTAGCATGGCAGCATAAATGGATGATGGAACTCCGAGGCTACACTTAGCTATACAGAAGCAAATCAAGGTCAAAATGATAGCATATTAGTCAGTGTGGCCGAGTGGTTAAGGCGTCAGATTCGAAATCTGATACGTTCGCGTGCACAGGTTCGAATCCTGTCGCTGACGATTTACAATTAATTCTTTTTTTTTTTTAGCTCTGTTATCTTTTTCATCCTATCATTATCAATAGAGAGGTTCTGCACTATTATTATAATTATATTATTATAATAAATTCTGCCTGGCAGAACTCAACTAGGAATAGCATCAACTTTATTACTAATGAAGCTATTCAACTCTTTAAGAATAGGGCATTTTTAGCATGTTGGCCGTTTAGTGGGCGTCAACCACTGTTTCCAGGCACCCGCAGGCAGCTATATGGCCCAGCCATAGAACACCTGCCCGAAAGGGACAAGATGAAGTTATTATTATAGGAATAGTAATCAAAATCATTGAATTCGTGGTGGTGTAGGCGAATATTAGTATTTATATTACTTCAAATTATTGATAATTCAACGCGTTGAGTGCCTACATAGGGTCCTTAGATAGAGGTCTTTAAGTACTGGATCCCTAGCACGGCGCTAAACCCGTTACGCTACTATTCTCACTATAATAATATTATAATGAGAATACTAACTAAATGTGGATCCGTTGCTTAGTCAGGAAAAAGACCGCCTTTTTATTTTGGCCAGCGCTAAACCCTTTTAGCAAATTATTATTATAATAATATTATTATAATAGTGCAGAACCTCTCTAATACTACTGCTGCTACTACTACTGCTATTAGTCAGTGTGGCCGAGTGGTTAAGGCGTCAGATTCGAAATCTGATACGTTCGCGTGCACAGGTTCGAATCCTGTCGCTGACGATTTACGATCTATTGTTTTTGGCTCTGTTATCTCTTTCTTTCTATCATTATCCTTACTACTACCACTACAACCACTACTACAATTATTCTTGTTTCTCAATATTATCTGAAATATTCATCTTCATGCCAATTCAGTTCAAAATCTCCTTTATATTCGATAGTATCACCTGCTTTCACGTCACTGGGTCAAAGTAAGGAGACGCCCTGAAGCGATCCGGATTTATCAATACCTCAAAGAATGATAGATATGGCGGGTTGTCTTTCAGGCTTCGATAGATACATGGGTAGTTCAAGAGGGTCTAGAATTCGCAATTTCAATGGGCATAAACTAGATATAAATAAGTAAGATAAACAGAGATTAATCTAAGAATACCTTACCCAAGCTAAGACCTAAAAAAGGATAACAGATACTCAGATAGATCTTGGTACTAAAAATAATTTAGATAATTAATTATCCCATTTTTAGCTGCTCCGCGGTTAGATATAAGAGAATCTTACATCTAACTGTTAACCGTTCGGCAGGTAGAAATTTGTCCCTTAACCTACCCTACCCTGGCCGTTAACCACTCTAAGTATAATTATATGTCTGGTGCTCAGGCCGCCCACAAATAATCTCTTACTTTATTTTACTAGAATACCTAGATAGCTACTAATTCAACTCACACTTTTACTACAATTTCGCGTTCGTTTGCTTGCTTTTCTATTGTTTCGTTGCTTTGCTAGTAATCTCGCGCCTCGACACTTTTCGTACCAAGCAATCTGCAAACTGAAGTTTTGGCGGATTCAGTTTTGCACCTGCTTCAAGAAGCATTTGCACTATGCTCTGCTGCCCAGTGTACAACGCAGCTCCCAGAGCACTGTGGTATCTCCCACGAGACTGTTCCCAGAAATTGTTAGCTCCATGATGAATAAGTACGTCCACAGCCTTTTCATGACCTCCAAAAGCAGCAGCTTGCAGTGTATCACCGAAATGACCCCCGTACCCTTGAACATCAGCTTTGTAAGCAAGAAGGAGCGACATTATCTCTATATTGCCGCGGCTTGCAGCAGCCTGAAGGGCATCTTCCAGCTCATGATCTTCTTCGTTTGGATCTGTACCCTTCTCAAGCAGACATTTAGTGATTTCAAAATTGTTGATGATGACAGCTGCGCGAAGAGGAAAGCCGTATTGTCCTCGAAGCTTGATATTAGCTCCAGCATCAAGAACTAGCTGTACTATTGACAGCTTCTCACTTGCAATAGCAGCCGCGAGCGCATTGCTAAAGAAACCTTTTTTCCTCGTTTATGTCGGTGCAGCTTTGCAATAGCAGCTTTGCTCTCCTCATCTTGCCTCCCGCGAGGGCTATTTAAAGGGGATCAGGCCTGATTTCTGGAGCAAAGTCTCCAACATCCCCTGCCATAAGCCGCTGGAAATTTGGAATATTCCCTTTGCAAGCTGCGGTCTGTATGGCATCATCGAATTGCTGTTGTGTAGTAAGCTTGACCCCAGCATCAAGCAGGAGTTCTGCAACTGCATTGTTATCACTCGCCAAAGCCGCCTGCAGGGGACTGTAATATTCCCCCCTTCTAGGCACAGAGGAAGAGGCGCCATGATGGATCAGAAGCTGCACTATTTCCGTCAACCCCCAAAAACACGCCGCTCGAAGTGCATTCTCGTACTGAAACCCCGGTGCGTCTATATTGGCTCCCAAGTCTAGGAGCTTCTGAACAACCATGATGTGGCCACCACGAGCTGCCAGGTATAGCCCAGAGCTTCCATCTTTGTTTGTCTGGTTCACATCCCAAATCCTCAACATTATTGTTATTCTCAAGCATTTCCACGAACCCAAAGCGGCAGATCAAAAATAGCGGTGTTCGTGGAGTGCTTATTGAGGCATCAAGCTTTCTTTCATTTGTAGATCTCTACCTAGAACTGCCTTCTCTCTGCTGTAGCTCGAAATTGTCCAGCCAGTCATCAAAGTGCTCTTCTTTTGTAAAGAATTCTGTGAGACGAGGAACAACTTTGGCTCTTTGGGGTGCACACCCAAGGTCCTCCACATGAGATGGCCAATAGTTTGTAGCGTATTTGAGAAATCCATTTTCACCACAATCTTCGCCCAGATATGCACCCAGGCACCTCAGGGCCATGCTATAGCACACTTCTTTATCGCGATAGATCTCAACGGATTCGAGATATCTGTAGATTGTGTCAGCTGCTACGATTTGGGTACAGGCTGATCTGATGATAATTACTTTCGAACCGTCGGATGAGCGAGCCTGAACGTATTTGTTTCGTTATCTATCACCACCAAGCCACAGCAGTAATCAATGATGGTCCCCGATACATTATTCGACTTGCAGCGACACCCATAGGAACCTGTAATATTAAGTCAGAGAGCGATTCTTAGAACGACCTTGGCCCCACCCACATTCCTTGTGCTCCAGTAATAAGTGTCTCTTTCAGGTCCTTCTCCAGCTGTTGTAGTCTATCGCTTGCCTCGCTGTGTAGATCGGCCCATCTTGACACAAATTTGCTCACACGGAGATCAATGAAGTGTTTGAGATCACCTTCAGTGTCTTGCGGTGTCACACAAAGAGTCCGTTTCTGTCTGAATCCAGTAGCAATATCCTCTTCGTATCGACTGGAGATAAATATTTTGACCAGATCGCGACAGCTCTGACGCATTTCTTCGAGAGATTGCTGCAGTATTATACGCTGCTGTGAATCACATTCATCAAGAGCATCGATAATTAGCATGACTGGGGCTGACTGGCCAAGCTCACACAAAAGCTCGGTACACCTTTCTACAGACAAAGCAGCTGGCTCTTCACCATAGTAGTTTGCTTCTTGAAGGCGTTTCCGATACTCCTCGACGACTGGAGTCCTCATCAGGTCGTTGCTGGTGGTTAGAGAAAGCTGCTTTATGATTGATCGGAGTACCTCCCGAGCATCGCCACGCTCTGGTTCCGCCGGGTTTCTCGAGCATAAAAAGTGTATTATCGGCAGGGAATGCTGTACTTTACCAGCTTGAAGGCGTAAATGCTGTATGACAGCAGCACTTGTCTGTATTAGTCAAGGGCTAACATCTCCAGTCCCTAATTGAGCAGACTCACGCGATCTTGGACTTTCCGCAGCCGGCTTCTTCTTGTCAGTTTGATTAGGAAACTTTTGAATATAAAAGTTCAACTCACGTGTTCCATGCAACCAAAGCACCTCAGAGCTACTAGAATTGCTCCATGCCTGGAATTCAGGGTGACGGAAAAGCCATTCTCCAGAGCCTGGCATCAGCGATGCTGATGCCTCACGATAATGTTTCTGAGCCGGGACATCTGATATCCAGCTCAGGGTTTGGTCCCTCTCGTTGTCTAAACATGTTTAGTTTGTGTGGAAGCGTATGTCAAGCAGCTGGCTAATACCTTTCAAAGCTCGATGAAGGTCGGAAACTTGATCCACAACTCGTGTTACTGGCTTATCAAGGTCCAGGAGGGCTTTTTCTAGTTTTGCTTTCATATCATTGACCTGGTCCGCCGTTGATGTAGCTATAAGGATGATGTGCAAAACGTGTGTCTCGATATTACCTAGATCTAGAATAAAGTTTAGTCGAACAAATCTCAATCCTGACGTTCTAGACTCACCTTCGCTATCAGCGAGCCCCTCCTGTATCAGAAATTGCTGCTCGGCACTCTTTATGTCCTTGGTGCAGTGTCTAAAATCGTCTTTGGACATAAAGGTAACCGCACGTTCTAGTCACCAAATATTGGCCACTGAACAACGAAACAAAGTCTTGAAACCAACATACTCGTTCGCGAGCACTGATGATATTTCCTCGCCAGAGACAAAAATTTCAAGACCGCTGTATAGCACTTGACGATTTCATCTTGCAAGGCCTGTCTTGCTTCACTCAGCGCAGAGTTCTTCTGATAATATGAACCTTCGAGTATTCCACCCCGCGCAATGACCCTCACAGACGTCTCGAGCCCCTCCACAATAGCACCGAAAGTTTCGATTCCGTTCAAGAACAGCTGAAGCACAAAGCGCACTCCTGCCCAAGGTAGTGCCGCATGGACCGGGTCATAGGAAACAACGATATCGACCACACTGGCAAACTTGTTCATGCAAGCTACAATTCGCAAGCTACAATTTTCGCGCATACATCACGAATGATGATCTCCTTGCCACCGATGGTGGTGGTCGACCATTTGTGGCGTTTGCAACGATCGCGCTGCATTTCGATTGCAGTGATGATGTCGGTCAATGTCTGTGAGACTGGTGGTGATGCAATGCCTGACGTGGGAAACATGCGCTGATCTTTGTCTGGGAGGGCGGAGAGGGCTCTCGCCCAGTGGGAGGTGGTCATTCTGCGTGAAATTTCTCCCTGGTAGCAACTCTTGTGGTAGGTGCGACGTGGTCCTTTAGGAATAATTGAAAGCGGAAGGTATAGACCTCATAGCTGGTACAAAATGTTGGGCAGAAAGGTGGCAGCGAGGCCTGATATGGGACGGTGGCTGACAAGGCTGAGGAGGGATCGAGCGTGGTTGCCATGTTTGCTTATGCAAATGCTTATCACTGTCATATTATATCTTTCGCTGTGTGAAGCGTATTTGCAGCGTACTATAATCTAGCGTCCCAGAAAGGATATGGTCATCACGTAGAATAGAAATGGCGAAGAGACTTCTTTTCCATGTGGTGAGTGCCCAGGGAAACGTAAGATTTAAGTATATTGCTGCGGAGTAGTAGGGGGGATCTTGGCTTCGTTAGTAGGCTATCGGTTTGCCAGCGTCAAACAACTAAATCCACGTAAAAGTGATGCCATTAGCAGAGCTAGGCAAAGAGAAGCAAGGACATGAACTTGCTATCATCCTAATTTTTTTAGGGGGGGAGGTGACTGGACGGTACTGACTAGTTCAATCCATATGACTGTAGCAGCTACTTGAAGCGACTGTATGATGATTGATGATATTGTAGAGGTAGCGGAGGAAGAGGGGTCCTCGAAGCTATACTAGATGGTCTAATCATACAGAATAGGAGGGAACATGTAGTCATGTGACAATGACGATTCTTTACCAGTGGAAATTGAGAGTGTCCTCACTTTCTATCAAATGGATTTTTTTGCAAACCGTATATAGCATTATTTAGTACATTCCCAGTATTTGCCAAATACTGGAAAAGTATTGCATTCCATCATCTATACATTGAAGGCTTCTTCTCTAAATCGTCTGCGTTTGTTTGTCTCATACAAGAGGAAGTTTGGTAAGGTGTCAGGACGCATCCCGTATGGTTTCTAGCAGAAATGGTGAGAATTCGATTAGATTTATAGTCTGGCAGACTATCCAACTGAAAGGATTTTGTGCCATTTGATCAAATTCTCGTGAGCTTGTCCGTTTCACTCTAGAGCAACTAGATACAAGCATTGCTATCCTACACATTCTCTCATAATGTACAGACCTCCATACTACCAACAGAGAAAGTATCCCATGAGATAAACCATACTCCATATCACTTTACTGACAGCAAATTAACCCATTCCAAACCCCTCGAAACACAACCCCCTCGCCATCCCCTCCGCAGTAAACTCAACCCCCTCCTCCTCCAACATTCTCTTCTTCATGCCGACCCCATCCTTCGCTTTCTTCTTCGCCCCTCCTGACCCCTCAGCACCGGAGTACCCCACCAGCAGCTTCCCGTTACCCCCCAGCACCCGATGACAGGGTACCTCCGGTGCAAACGGGTTCAGACGCATCGCGGCCCCAACTGCTCGAGGACTAGTACCAATATGCTTGGCAAGCGCAGCGTATGTGGTCCAACGGCCTGCGGGGACGGATAGCAAAGCAAGGTAGATTTTACGGCGGTGAGAGGGGAGGGTGGGGTGTGTGGTTATTTTCTTGATCATTTTTGTTTTGATGTCTGTCACTGGCGTCATTTCCGTTGGTTGTGGGGATGGTTGTGTAATAGTCTTCTGTTGTTGTTCCTGTGGTTGGTGTTGCGTTTGAGGTAAAGCCATGGTTACAGGCCCAGTTCTCTGTTGGTATGTAGTATTTCGCCTGGATGTATGATTGGATGGTGATAACTGCCGTTGTTTGTGTGAGGATGTTATATTTAGATAGTAGTAGACAGGGGCAAGGATAGTGATGATGGTTTCTTTGTTTGTTTGATGTTCGACCGTTGCAGGATAAATAAGGTACGGAGCACAGAATATGTTGTGTTGGTGTGGGATGAGATAACTTTCTTTGTCCTTTTCCCGTTTGTTTGTGATCCCTTATCGGGTGCAGATGTTGGGTAGTACTAGTAGTAAATGAGATGATGAGATGAGATGAGATAACTATGGATGAGGTACCCGTTTCTGCTTTTTTTTGTGTCCGAAACTTCACTCAATAGGGAATTAAGTTCAGCGATTAAGGGATACAAGATACTGTTTGTGTTGGGTTAGCTTGATCTTCCTTTGTATTGTGGATGGCTATTTATATACCTATAGTATAACGGATCACTCAAAACAAGGACAAAGTGGTTTGAGGTTTGGTGGGTAGGTAGTAGTACTAGATGGAAGCAAAATACATGGTGGCACAACCGTTTGATGCTACCGTAGAACGTTGTTCTTTATATGCAGAACTGCAGAGCGAGAGAGGGGTCTGGAACTTGACTCCGCAACGTTGTGCTCGAATTGACGAATCGGGTGGTTCCGTGCACATGACTGTCTCCATTCCTGACTGGTGTGGCACGGCATGCTTCCATGGTTGGATAAATCTAGCCATTCTATGGTTCCTCTCATTCATGATTCTTTATGCGTTTGAATATGATGGAATTGCAGCATTCGCCGGGATGGCAGCGGGATGGAGTCTGATGCGATGCACTGCCGTTAGGCCCAGCCCAGACTTACCGCGATGGCGCACAAACGTTGCTTCTGGTGTCACCCCGGTAGTCATAATAAAAATAGCACCAGGCTCAATTAGCATAGTCCTAGGATTACATTGTCGGTTCACTATTTCGGTGCATTGAAAGACGGGCTATGCGATTCATCCATCGTCGCTAGGGGAGTGTCAGTGTGCCACAGGCTGAGATGGGGATTCTACTGCGGGATAAGGACAGTTACATGCCGATATGTTGGAGTTAGTTACATCTTACTGTTCCACTGCCCGATGCGATTACCTGCAGCACAGGCGTGGCGAGAATTACACTGGCTTCGTTCACTTTGCCGCCGCCGAAACCAGTATGTTCCTCCCGAGAAGACAAACGTCGCATGTTGTGACATGTTGAAGGTAATGTATTAATAAACTTGTGACTGGTACACAATGTCTATGTGTATAAGAAAACCAAATGAAATGGTATATGCCAAAAGGAAAATAGATAGAATGAGGTCCGGAACGCCATACCGTCCGTGGGTCATCGACAACATGAAGAAGCATAAGCATAAGCATAGACATGAGAAGCATAGCGGACATAGACGGACGTAAAGTGCCAAGGGTAATCACCCGGCAACAAACAGAAGGGTATATTCAACAGCATCATGACGCAAAGGGTATAAGGCAGAGTAAAAGCATCATGACACTAATCGGTTCGCGACCGCTTGGTCGTCCGACGCTTAGGGACGTCCCAGTGGTGAAACGAGCGCAGGTGTTCAATCAGATGGTCGCGACGCGGAAACCCATTGCCATCCTTGCGCAGACATTCTTGTACTGGGCAGTCCTGAAACACGGGGTTGTGGACGCTGGTGTGATGCCGTTTCAGGTCGGCGGGACGTGTGAACGCCTTGCCGCAGTCGCGGCACGAGAAGGGTTTGACGGGTCTGGCCAGGTCCATTAGATTACGGTCGGAAATTTTTTTATTAGGGCGGAAACCATACCTAGAGTTGTCTAATGCGTCGCAAGTCTCTTCGGGAGAGTATACGACCTCAGTGCTGGGAGTGGTGGATTGCGGTGCAACCCATTCCCCGCCCGGTACAGGCACCGGAGGTGTTTGTGTTTGAAGGAAAGTGTATGTTTCCGGCGAGTACATGAGAGAAGGAGTGAAGTTGTAGTAGGCGTTGAAAGGGGAGGAATTGACGGATGATGTGAAGGAGGTGGAGTCGTAGGAGGATGGTTCGAAGGAAGGTTGGGTCATGGGCAGATCGGTCGCCGCCATGGTGTACATGGTGTTATCAAAATATCCGAAAGCCGATTGCATGGAGTCATCACTGCTTTCCGAATAGGATCTTTGTTCGAGAGGAGGGCATGATGGAATATTGTGGTGCTGCGGCGGGAAGGTCAGTTGGGGAGTGACGCGCGAGGGAGCGAACGAGAGAGGTGAGAGGAGGAGGGAAGAGTGGAGACGGATCGAGACCCTGATGATCGGGGAAAACATACCATTGCAGTGGAGGCAAACATGATGGAGAGTGGGATGGGGAAGAATCAATTGGTAGGAGGGACAGGACCAGCAGCTCAATGGCCGAATTGTTCTGGAAGAAAAATGGAAGACTTGCCTGGCCATCGTGACTGGGCCCCGGGTTTTTATAACCATATTTTTCTTCAATTCTTTGATCCAGGTCGACCTACGGAATACGTCGCACTTGCATTAGGCCAGGACGGTGGTCTCCACCATGGAGCCCAAAACCGCCAAAGCCAGACGGTGCTAAGCAACACGAACGCACCCACGGCGACATCATCAGGTGAGCCCGCTCCTATGATCTTCCACTAGGAGTCCGCGCAGATTGGATGGGGGAGGTCGGGAATGCAGGAGGAATCGCAGCCAACACACAGCCCCCCCGGCTCTGAGCGCTCATTGGCGAGGGTGAGCCACGAAAGTGAAGCAATCCTGGCTAGTGCTGACGCTAGAAACGCCGAAGAAGCATTCGAAACTTCTTCCAGGCTTCCAGAGGCCTTCCATGGCTGTGATTGGCAGAGGCCGAGTCTTGGGACGGAAAATAACCAGCGATGGTGTCCACTCCGGGCCGAGAGAGGAGCCAGACGAGCCAGACAAGGAAGACGGACTGTCCTGTGTGGCCTGCTGAAGAAGGAAAAGGACCGGAACGAGGGTCTGCGGTGACACGACAGCGAGACCGCAATATCGTCATAGGGTGCGATCCCCCACAACAACAAAGAGTCGGTGGAGCCCGTCGGCCGTGCTGGAACTGGCTGGCTTTGGACTAGAAAGATTTTCTGGGACGGACTACTGACGATGATGATGATGATGACTGACCGATGTGGATGTGCTTTTTTTTTTTTTTCCCTTTTCCCCTTCCCAAGACGCCAATTCCCTAGTCGGGAATTCGTCCGTTTGTTCGCCTTGTTGTGGTCCGACATGGCCATTCGTTAAATGAAAGGCACGCGGACCGTTCATCGGAAGGCTCCGATGATAAATGTAGTAACAGTAAGAAGATCTGATCCTCTTTTCTAGCTTTGCAATTGATTGTTATGATTGATCGCTTGCTATCCACGGTCGCGGAGAGAGCGGCTCCTCCACCAAAGAAAAAAGTACGAACGAACCACGAGTCTTGTCACGAGAACCTTGTGAATGAATAACTTTGGGGCTCTGGGGAAAGGAGTAAGGCAGATCTGACGGAAGTGTCACTCCTTGCTTGAATTCCCATCAACCTGAGTGGATGATTTTTGACCCTGGTGATGGGTGCACTGTGCAGCCTGTTCCTGCTGGACGGGAATTTCGCTATTTCTCCCGACCGACCGAGGAGATGGAGTAAATCGGCACGGGCTTTCCGGGCGTTTCGTCAACCGCTTCTCCCACACATTTTCCACCCGCCAAGTGCGCGATTCCACAGCCTTGTGGTTGGTGCCAAGCAGCGTCTGTCTGGGGAAAACAGCAGGGACTGGTACACTCTGGCTCCCTATGACGACGACAACCTTGGGGGATGGGGAATGATAGTATCGCACAGCCCCCCCTTGCGACCGGGGTGAAGGTTGATGATGATGACCACTTCCCCGGGCTAGGTTAGTACCTAGATAGCGAGCAGGATTGAAGCTCATCAATGCAAGTGTAAAATGCCTCACATCGGTGCTAAAGAGTTGCTTCAATCCTTCCCGTGAGTGATTAATATGTCAGAAGGTTTAAACAAGTGAGGCGACTGCGCGATATTCTCCTGATAATCTCTCATTTGCTTCACCATCGCGATGGGACAATCTATTCTTGTACACTCACTGACAATCACAACACCCGCAAGTGGCTTAGCTTGGGGTTGGTTTCCTCCTATTCACCGCCTGCTACGAATGCGACGAATGCTGCCTGAGGTCTGGATTCAACTACTACTACACCACAACATAATTAGAGATACTCCACAAGTATTCACCGTGCACCTGAATTAATCTAGTTAATCAAGTTTACTGAGAACATGGTGAAACCATAGCAGAGCACTGAAATGTAAACTGAAGCAATTCTGAGACCGGCAAAAGTAATTGTCGCGGAGGCTGGGCCGCCAAGAATAGCACTACCATAACCTTCCAATTACAGCAGGCGGTCAGACAATACCATAACCCACTCTCTCACCACTTGGTGAAGATGCCAACACCACTAGTAGTAGTATTCTTCCTACAACTTTGTGCCATGTGGATCGCGACAATTCATCCAGTTGTCGGGCAATCCACAGAGCCTCGGACGGAGGACATTATTCCGTACTAACTCTGTCAAGTGCGTCACGGGGAAAAAAGAAGAGCTAATGGAGAGGTGACCGATTGATCGCAACCGAGGTTTTGCCCTTTAGTGTTTATCGCACTAAGCAGAGACTTACTTCAAGGAGGAAAAATGAGTTATTAAGTTGGTACTTTTGTACTACACAAACTCCGATCTATTTAGTGTTTTCCTTTTTCCTTGGCTTCACTATTGGTTGGATGTGTTAATCATCGTCCAGCCACATCATTGTCATCCCACCCGTCTAGGGGAACTTAGTGCTTGTTCCTATCTTCTTTCTCTAGGTATCCCTGAGTACGGGGGTAGTTAGTCTAACTATCTTTCTGGGCGTTTTCTGCAAGCACCGCTCACTTGACAGGGATTCCCTTGCCGATTTTACCGATCAACAGACAGGTTTGGTCAAGTACTATGGACTCGATTATTCCATCTCAAATGGTCAATGTACGGTAACAACAAGCATCACTACCTAAAGTCATGGCTGCAGCCCATAAGCCACCATGTTAAGAACAGCACAGAACTCCCATGTCTCGTAGACTCGTCCCTGCATGCTCCCCCCCTCCGAAGACTTGGATGAAACAACAGATCGTTAAACAGATGGCAACACAATCACCAATTGCATAGACACATTGATTAAACTTAACTCCCATATTTCCGTGCATCCTTGCTAATAAAGCCAAACCCAACCGACCGAGGCACTTTTCCACTTATCTTCATCGAACCCAGCCATGTACAGAGACCTCTCATGTTTGTGCATCATTCGATTACAATTCATCCTCCAGGTATTTGTAGACGAACTTGAAGTCAGCCTTACGACGGTTCATCCTGCAAGAGTTGTTTGTTAGTTGGGTTCTTTCTGCCGTCTTCGGGATTTCCGAGTGGGTTACTTACCATGTACTCTCATAATCGAAGAAGCGATATGTGCCCTGCTCGAACTCCTCCGTGATCGTCTTCGGCTCCTCGTGACGTTGGAACCAGGTTTGGTATTGCTTGTGGAAACGCCAGCTTTGGTTCTTCAATGCCTTGGCCGCGAGATACTGCTGGTAACTGCCTTGTCGGTAGTAGAACAGGTAGAACAGTGTATCCGTGTCGATGCGCCCGGTCTCGTACAAGCGCGGATCATCAAAGATAGTGAGCGGTTCCTGAGGATAGTATAGAGGCGTATTGTAAGGGTTCTGAGGCTTGTAATGACGAGGCTTCTCCGCATCAGCAGGCTCCGGGCAGTTCGCGAGCGATGTTGCAAGCATGCGCTGCACTGACGGGGACGCGTTGGCTGCGCTTGCTGACGCCCGGGACCTCGTGACTTCGAACGACTGAATAAGATCCTGCAGGCCGGGAGGCAGGTGGAAGATCGATTCCTCGCTCTCCTGCTCCTCTTGCTTACTCGTCGCCTCACCGTTCGGCGCGGGCTGCTCCTTGGCAGCTGCTGGGGCCTCCGCTTTCTCCATTGTTTGTGACGATGTGCTCGCAGCAGCCACGTTGGGGCTGACGGAAGGTGTTTTTGATCGTGCACCGGTGATGTCCTCCGCCGCTATCGTGAGGACCGGTGCGGGCTTGGATGAAGTAGGTTGTACCGATGCAACGCTCGGCGAGGCAGTGGCTGAAGCTTTGTTTGCAGGCACAGCGTGCGGGAAAGCGGGGCTTGCGCCTGGAGGTGGCGGAAGTGGTGCAATGCCCACCCCGTTCTTGTCACTTGCTGCAGCTGCAGCGGCAGCGGATGCGTACTTGAGTGTTTCTCCGGGGAGGCGGGTAGGCGGTGGTGCGGGTTTCATGCCTGAGGCGGCAGTCGTGGAGGTCGACGATTGGAGTGTTGCTAACACAGGTAGAGGCGATTTCATCTGTGCAGATGGCCTTCGAAGTCCTGCGCTCTCACCCTTGTTGACCTTGGGCTTGATTTCCGGCTCCTCGTCTTGAATCGATTGCGTATCTTGCGAGGATACCTTATCGTTGTCCCCTGTCATGCCGAACTGCACCTCTGCCTCGTTGTCCAGGTTCAGGTCGTCGTACAAGGTTTCATCCTCACCAGAGTAGTCAATGTTGTGCCCATCCTCCACGTAGTACTTGATGCTTTCCTTGATATCCAGCACCTGAGGGACTTCGAGGTTTCCGTTCTGCAGCGACCGTAGCAACAGTTCCAACTTATTGACATGCCACTTATGGCGATCTGTTAAGCGTGAAAGGTCTGACAGGCGATTCGTCTTGGCCACATCCTTCTTGCCCTTCTTCATTTGCATGTGAAGCGTTTCCTCTTCGGCTTCGAAGGATTCGATCTTTTGTTGCAGCTCGTCCACCATGTTCGATAGGAAGTCGCAAGTCTCGACCTTCTCCTTCTCTTTAGGATCTAACCTGGATGCAGCCGACAACCCTTCTTTCGAATATGCCTTTGTCTTCATCTCCTTCTCGACCGCCTTGAACTGTTCCATGCACTATCAGATAACACAAGTTAGCAGCAGCCCCTCATTGAGTAAGCGCTTCAACAGGGATCGGATAAGCCCACAGTCTCAATGGCCCTGCGCTGCTCTAGCAGCGGCCCCTTGTCCTTGACCTCATTTCCTGACGCCCATGACTTGATTTGGTCACGATATCGTTGTAGCTTCTTGATCTCCCGTTTCAGGTTCTCCTCGAGCTTATCCCGTTGCGTGATATTTGATGTTGACCGGATCTTCTCATAGATACCCTCAAATGTTTGAATACCCTCGGCAACCTTCTTGAAGGTCTTGTCGATCTCCTGCTGCGTCTTCCGGGACGTCATTGCTGCGATGCACCATGCACAGGTCGGTAAATCTCGAAGGCTGGTCAGGATACAGGTAGCAGGAGGATGCGGGAGGGGGTCGAATGAATGGAACAGAGGGAGATGAGTGCGTATGTAAAGAAAAGATGAATACTATGAGAACGCGTCGCGAAGCAACTCTCAATACCAAACGCGCGCGAGCGTGTCTGTATATGCGAAGCTCTTTAGACGAGTGAATCTCCTGATACTTTGTCTGGTCGTCCAGAAGCTGGGATAGAGGCCCAAAAGGGTAGGCGGTCACAAATGCTCACAAGCACTCACATTCATGCCCGTTCTCTACTTTGGGTGGAGGCGAAACCAGGTTCGAGATTCAACCATTTCGCACAGCTGCTCATATTGCTGTGGATCTGTTTGAACTTATTGATGATCTAGCCATTCCAGGATGATTTACGTCTGCCTCCGCTTCCGCTAATGTCCTGAGATTATTAGGTCTGTGTGTTTCCCGTTTTCAGTATCCCGCCGCATTTGGTCCGTCCGTTGATCATCAAGTGACTGACAAACCCCCATTTCATAGAAAGCGCAACAGCTATTCCGACAGTCTTCAGAGCCCTATCTCCTCAGCGCATGCTGCCATACTCCTTACTCTTCCAAACGACACATCACAAATCACCATGAAAGGTGCGCAATGCAATCTCACCCGACCTTATAATCAATAACTAATATGCGTCGCCCCTCAGCCGTCCTACAACGAGTCAAGTCCGCCTCGGTCACCGTGGATGGCCACCTAATCTCCTCGATCGGACAAGGCATTCTCGTCCTTGCCGGCATAGGAAAGGAAGATACCGAGAAAGATGCCGACTCAATGATCGGGCGGGTATTGAAGGCGAAGCTATGGCCCGACGAGAACGACAAATCGGTATATACAACCAATACCCTTCCCCGCAATACCAATGAAGCATATCTAACCCACCTCTCCCAACAACCAGTGGAAGAAGAACGTGCAGGACATAAATGGAGAGATCCTCTGCGGTATGCGCAACCTCCTCCTACCAAACCAACCCAAAATCGAGAAACCCACCCACTAACTATACATACAATAATCCAGTATCCCAATTTACACTCTATGGCCATTTAAAAAAGGGCAACAAGCCCGACTTCCATGAAGCCGCCGACGCGGAGACCGCGCGCAAACTGTATGACTATTTCATTCAACGGTTGAGCGAGTCGTACAAGCCCGAAAGGGTGAAGAACGGGGTCTTCCAGGCGATGATGGAGGTCGAATTGAAGAACGACGGGCCGGTGGGTGTAGATTACCGCAGTGAAGATGCGGTGGTAAAGCTCTTGCCTTCTCCTCTTCCTGCTAATTCCTATATGTCCTCAAAATTTATGCTAACCGTGCTGTGTTTGTTGTTTGGCAGGTTACGATCGAGATTAATACGCAATTACCGAAGAAGGAGAAAAAGGAACAACCGCCTGGCAAGGAGGATGGGAAGCCGCAGACATTCGAGTTTAAGTTGCCGGCGGAGTTGATGGAGTGAACTGTTTCTTCGATGGATTGATGAATATATGTTGATTCCTCTGCGGTCGGTCGGAAAAGAAATGATTGTGGGTGGCTATGACGGCCGACGGACCAACTTCTTTCCTTTCAAGTCAAATTGTATATACCATGTGATACCAATCAATAGATGCGAGGCATAGACGGGTGTGCTATGTAACTGGGACTACTTGAAACTTACTACTGAACAATACCTAGAACAGCTCCCGCTTGTAGTGCATGGTGTATTGGCTGTGTAAACTATGAAAGGTCCAAGATCTGGCAGGCAAGGAAGTTACTACTACTTTACCAATAATGTATCACGGCCACGGACCGTAAGAAGCCTACGATTCTCAAGTGTAGATCAAAGATACGTTCATCGACCTGGTTTCGTAGCGCACAAAGCTACCTTACCTACGTGACTCGATTCCTTTCTATTGTACAGAGTGCTCTGGTCTGCTGAACCGCATAGCGAAGCCAACTCGAAGCGAAGCGCAAAGCCCGTACGTCGTTTGCATAGCCGCTGAGGATGAGTAAAGGTCTTTGAAAAATTCCTATTGTGCACCAATCCAATGCAATGGTTGTAAGAGAGATTAGACTTAGTTCTCACTTTTCACCCAAGGCCGGGGATTTTAAGAAATGGGAAAATTAAATCATGCAATCATGAATCATGACGTTGGTCTCTTCACGAGAAGAACTTCTGAGCGGTAGCCCTCTCGCGAGCCTGACGGTCCTTGACGGCCTTCTTGACCCGGGCAATCTCGTTGGTAATGCCAGCATCACCAGGGGCCAGCCGAGAAGCCTCCTGGAGATCCTTGAGAGCCTCGTCCTCCTCCTTCAGACCCCTGTAGGCCACCGCACGGCGGTAGTAAGCCTTAGCCTTGTCGGCATCCTTAGCGTTCGCAGCAGCAGCTGTTTCGAGAGCGTAAGTAGCCCAGGTCTGGCCATTCTTAAACTGATCAAGCTTGTTAGCAAGCAGAGATGAGTTCGAGTGCAGAGTGAAGCGGAGCGCCTTCATCTGGGGGTCCAGATCCTTGGGGTCCTGCTCATCAGGCTCAGGGAACTCGTTGAGATAACGCAGACCCTTCTGGTACTTCTCGAGACCGAGAGTCAGGTTTCCGCTCTTGAAAGCGGTGTTTCCAAAGTTCTTGAGCTCAGACGCGATCTTGAAGCAGACAGGGGCGCTCAGCTCCTCTCCCTGGTGGTCATCGGGGAAGTCCTCATAAGGATCGCCAGTCGCGTCGGGGATCTGCTTATCAGCGTTTTCGTACTCGTCGCCGGTGAGCTCTCCGCAGTCGACGATGGTGACGTCGGTGGTGGGCTTGTCGGCCTGGGTAGACATGTTCTCGACCTTGCGGACAACGCTCTTGCCGTTGATCACCTCACCGAAGACGACGTGCTTGCCGTCCAGGTGGGGGGTGGGCACGGTTGTAATGAAGAACTGACTGCCGTTGGTGCCGGGACCGGAGTTGGCCATGGAGAGAAGGAAGGGACGGTCATGCTTGAGGTCGAAGTTCTCGTCGGGGAATTTCTCGCCATAGATCGACTCGCCGCCCGTGCCGTTGAACGCGGTGAAGTCACCACCCTGAATCATGAATTGCTTAATGACACGGTGGAAAATGGAGCCTATCCAGCGGTGTTTTGTTTAGTGATGTTCTGGTGATTTTGTGTACTTTCTGCGCACACGGCCCCGCCGGAGCGGGGGAGGGGGAGGAAAATCTGAAGCTGCCGAATTGGACCACCGTACCTTTGAAGTGCAATGGCTTGCCCTGCTTGCCCACGCCCTTTTCGCCAGTGCACAGAGCCCGGAAGTTCTCCGCAGTCTTAGGAACGACTAATATTTGCCCATGGTTAGGATTATGCGCGTAATTCCTTTACGGGGGAGTCTGCACGGTACCATCGTTGAACTGCACAGGCGGGGTAGTTAGCGAGGCTGCATAAAACACGACAGGTAAATGCTGCACAAGATGAATGGTGAACTTACCAGTTCAAGAGCAATGCGACCGGTCTTCTGTTTACCGATCTGGATATCGAAGAAAACACGGGGGCGGCCTGTGAAATCAAGCGCAATCAGTATTGTATTCTGCTGTTGAGACTGCGTCCCCCGCTTTCAAAGAGTCGAACGTACGCTCAGAGTCGGCCATTATGGCGGTTGGAAGGAGTTGATGAGTGAAGAGGAAGGTAGAGAAGAAGGTTACACGAAGGGAGAAGCTGTAGAAACAGGGATGGGACAAATGAGAGAGGTGGAGGGAGAAGGAAGAGCTAAGGTGCGGAGGTGAACGAGGTAAAGAGGAGAGGAAGTGGGCTGGACCAGCCTTTGGCTGCGATGCTTCAAGAAGCTTCCATCGCATCTTCTTCCCCGGTGCCCGGCCGCTTCCTTCCGCGGAATGTCAACCATCCCCTCACCTACCCTCAAGCTACTTGTCATTAGCAGGCGCTTATATTTGGGATTTGTATTGAGCGATCTAGGATCTACCATCCGTTCATCCCCAGTGGAGCACTGGGCCTGCCAGTCTGGGGCTACGCTATGATCTGGACGGCTTCTCCCGTCCCCTACCTCGATTGCCTTATAACCAACACTAGTATACAAGGATTCTTATTCGCGCTGCAATTTACAGTGACGCACAATTACCTCGCTGGGATACTCTGGCGTCTGATTGCACAGTATCGCTCCCATATATTGCGTTGGAAGCGATAGTGCAGACTGTCCAGTGATCATTCGCAGGAAGTTGCTCAACCCAGCCAATAGCTACTGGTTATTAACAAACTATCTTATGGGAGTGCTGCTGATGCCAATAAGACCCAGATTCTAATATGGTATGATTCTGCCTAACCATGGGGTTGGATCGGTTACTATTGCAAGGATTCTGTCTTATGGGATCTTCAAAATTTTGATTGAGATGAAGCTTACATGCTCGCTCTAAGTTCGCCTCATCGAAGTACCTATACAACCGAATATCACAAAAAGAAAAGATCTCCTTTTCTCTCATCTCGTAGGGCTTTCTAGGATTACATAACTCTTTAGCTTCAGATTATTCGCTACCTGGACTAGCGGAATCAACATAGCTATAGTAGGCGTCAATGACTCACTGCAGCGCCATGTACTAGCTCTGCGAAACACAAGAGATCAGAGGCTCGGCCCCTCGGTTGTTGAATTAGTGCATAGCCATCTACACGTCATAAGTTTGTTCTTGATTTTGCATGAAGGAGCTGATGCGCCGGGTTTATGCCACTAACATGTGCCTTGTTGAAGTATTCGAGAGTCGCATACATCTACAGGGTATCAGGCATACTGTAGCAACTATGATAGTACAACTGCAAGGTACTTAGTCTCTTCTAGATTCATCAAGGCAGTCCAGCCAAACTAGCGCAAGGCAGATACCATGTGAGGGATTGTGGAACGTACTGCAACGGCAACAACATCAGCAACGTATAAATGGAAGTCGTAGTAAACACTTGATTCTTCTTCTATCTAGGTGGCTCAGAACTTAAGGAGCGGCTAAAGTAGAGATTTTCAAGTTATATAATTATAATTGATCATATGCTAGATTTATCAGGCAGAATCACTTTTACATTGCGCTCGCATACATATCAGCGCAACTATAGCCGGCTCTTGATCTTGGTCCATTCATTTTCGCCGACCTTCTGGAAGTCCATAACTGCATCTGGTCCTCCGAATCGGTTCTGTGTCGACTTCCAGTCTCTGTCGACCGCCATTTCTGGTCTCCACCGAACAACATGTTTCAGCTCATCCTGCAGATGACCCTCCAGTGCATCCACGATGAAACCTCCAATAGTGGGCATTTGCATAGCTCCATTCCCAGATGCCCCCACAGCAACCAACAGTGAAGGGTGATCAGGATGTTTATCGATTAAAAAGGCACGATCTACCGTATCGGCATCCCAGCAGATACGGGCGAACACTAGTGGACGGTCGGCCAGATGTGGCATGGTATCCCGCAGGAAGTCCTTGACGCGAGCTTCCGCCTCAAGGGGAATTTGGTGCTTTGCAAATGGGATGCTTCTGATCTCGCCAGATCTCGCCGGGTCCGGAATGAAGTTACAGTATCCAGGATGTTCGTCACAGATCTTGAGTTCGTGCTTATCCTCGTCAGGCTCCATGAAGAACCCCTTTGCAATATTGAACAGCACGGGTAGATTCTTGTACAACTTAGCCTCTTCCGGGGTCATCTGGATATGAGAGAGCGTCCAGGCAGTAGGACGCAGCTGTTTCTTGAAGTCCAGAAGACGGTCGCTTCCGGCACCGGCAGCCAAAATGGTTCGGTCTGCTCGGTGAATGACTCCATCGGACGTTTTAGCTCCAACCACATCTCCGTTCTCGTATACTAGTGATACAACATTCCCTTGGGGAGACCCGGTGATGAAGTTGACTCCAAGACGCTTGGCTTCAGTGTAAGCAGAAATCATGGCTTTCTTGGCATGAATCCATCCGGCACCCGACTTGTTCAACCAGCCCTTCCAGCCGGGAAATTCGCCAGTGAGAACTCCTGGAGGCATTGTCTTCTGGAAGTCTTCTGCCGTCTTCAATTCGACAAAGTCTGCATCAGAACACTCGATTTCATCTTTGCGGATGTGCTCAATGAGTGCAGGGGTATGACCAGATACAATGACACCAGTCTCATGGAAGTACTGCTTGAAAACAGGATCCGTCTTCCAGGCTTTCAGAGCGGCACGTGTGCACGTCGCGAACGCAATGCTGCGCGGCGTTTCTTCACCTGCTGTCGGGGTTGTTAGGTTTGGAAAAATAGACATCAGGTGGGCACTTCAAACATACCTTTGGGCTCCTTGTGTTCCATGATTTTATTGATATCATTGCCGGCTGCGATTGCGGATGGGATTGTGTAGGGGTCTAGAACTGTGACATGCTTGTATCCGCGGCGAGCCAAATGCAAAGCAGTAGAACAACCCCAAACACCCGCTCCCACCACGAGGATGGTAGAATCATGGGTTACTGTAGAGGATGTCATGGTGACTGCCAATTCTGTTTGACTCGAGAGTATTGAGGAACTAATTTGTTGCAGTGATGTTGATGTGGACGGGCAACGAGGCCGTATTTCAACGGCGCCCTTACATCAGACGGTATCCACTGAGTGCCAACTAAATGCCAGCATTGGGCACAATGGGGACCTGGCTGGGCCTTATCCAGAGTCCATAGTCCCGGCAAGATGGAAGCAACTCAAACCAGGCCACAGAATAGTGTCCGTGCCGGGGTTCCCAATCTAGATTAGCGTCCCGGTTGGACCTTCCTTGGGGTCTTCATATCACTCCGTCTTCTCATCCATCAACCATTCATGACCCCCAGATGCTTGGGAATACTCGCGTCAATGATCGTCCGGGATTTTTCCGTGGACGCTATCAGGGTCGTCTACAGCAATGACCCACTCGCGTGCGGATGATACCGACTTCAAGCCATGTCAAACCGGCGAAAGCATGCAGCTTCTCCGCATTTTCCTCCGCCTCGGCAGGCTTAATCGATATCAACCGCTCAGATAACCTTTCGTTTGGAGCTTCCTCCATGACTTAACTTATCTGTGACTGACTATCTTCGCAATACTCCTCGTGTCTCTTCGTCTCCACCCCTACCTTATCACCTCGGTTATGCTCCATTCAGCCGGTTCTAATTATTTTGCCGCTGGCTTTCGTGAGAGCGTGGCAGACGAGAGGAGGCGAATGATCATCCCCTGTTATCGTGCTTGGCCATACTGATACGCTCGGGATAACCATCCAATCGGACGCCAAAATGGGGTCTTGGAGGGCTCTATATACTTCGACCAGCTCGTACGCAGGTCTAGCATGGTTGTGGCCGCTAGTAGATAGTAACCAGCCTTAAAAGACGCTTCAACCCCCCTCATGGCTGTCTTTCTGCTTCCCTAGTACTTTCACAAAGCCAAAATGGCTCGTTCTGATGTTATAGATACCGATGTTCCAGGAACGGTGTACCTGGTTGATGGTAGGCTCTTCCTATAAGCTACAATTAATCGGTACTGACATCGAACTCAGCAACGGGGAGCTTGAGAGATGTAGCTCATGCTGGGAAGCAGGATGTCCTCCTTATTCCTCAGCCTACATCCTTTTCAGCTGATCCCTTGGTGGGTAGCAGATGAAAGCAGCCCTCTTCCACACGGTTCGTGCTGACCCATGATAGAATTGGCCTCTTTACAAGAAATACTGGACCCTGTTCTTGATCTCCATGTATGCATGCGTTAACTCCTTTGGGGAGAACAACTGGGGTGCGGCATGGACAACTATATCTGATGATACGGGAGTGAGCCTGAACAATATGAACGGTGGCTCCGCTTTGAACTATCTTATGCTGGGTTTCTTCAATATTATTTGGATCCCCACAGCCATGAGGTACGGACGCAAAATTGTCTATATACTTAGTCTGTTGTTCGTCCTTGGAAGTGGTATCTGGGGTGGCTTCTATCAGGGTGTTTCGCAGTATTACATTATGATGGTGATCAACGGGATCGGAACTGCAGCCTACCAGGCTTTGATTCAGCTGACTGTATGTTACGTTTCTGAGATGCTCGCTTCCGTACGCTAACAGAGCATAGATCTTCGACGTATTTTTCACTCATGAGCGCGGCCGAATGCTGTCGATCTACATTTTCTTTCAGCAACTCGGATCTATCATCGGGCTGATCTGTGGCGGTTATATTTCTGACGGTATTGGCTGGAGATGGAGCATGCCCATCGTGTCCATAGCATGTGTCAGTGCCCTCGCATCCTAATTACTCTGCTGCAATCAGCCAGCTGAACCATTATAGGCTGTTTTGATTCTTCTATTCATCTTTACTTTTGATGACACGATGTTCCCGAGGTATCGCTTTTCGGGTGTGACACCTCAGCGAACCACCAAAGGCGAGAACGAGACTTCCCGCACTCCATCTGGCACCCCAACGGCGGAGGAAAAGGATTCAAAGATTGAACCGCCAATGTCCGTCGTGGAAAGCCGCACTGTCGGGGAGATTGACATGCCTCCGCGAACCTACCTCCAGAAGATGTCTCCAGTTCACTACTTCAAAGACGACAACACAACTTGGTACCAGTACTTTCGACGCCCGTTCTTTCTCTTCGCGTTTCCCAATATTCTTCTAGCTGGTATCCAATTTGCGTTTGG